CAATCGAAAGTAGAGATAAGACGTAATATGGCGGGACCTGTGGTGTAAACAGTGTAGTATCATACCTTTTGACATATTGAAAGCATGAAAATGTCAAAACAAGTGGCATTAATACATGGAGTAATAGGTAATAAGGTTGGAATAAATGCAAAATACGTTTCATTTGTTGACATGCAAGAAAATTCTCCTTTGTTCTACTTTAATGCTATATTTCCCAATTGAACCAGTATCGGACCCTTTCCAAATGGGTAGAAAAAAAATCGCTGATTTGATAAATAATGTGAGATAATAAATACAGTAACCTTTTGTACTTTAATTATCATGAAAATGTTAGAAGAATAAAAATATACTAATCTCAACAATGCTTATCTATGAATGTTTGTACCGTAAGCAAATAAACTTTTTTTTTCAAAATAAAATCTAAACTACAGACGTTACAAATTTTTTTGTAACTTTATTGAAAGTCTGTAAACAGAGATTGAATCGTTTTACTTGTTCATTGCGTAATATTTCATAATGCACATATATTTCAGAATAGAAAATAAATTGTTTACTTGATACGCCTACAGTTTACCTTTTAAAAATTCTAAACTCATTTATGTTCAGATTACAATCCGAAGCTAAAAATAACTCTTGAATCTCCGAAGATAGAGAGCACACAATTCAAATATTAAATACAAAATATAGTTCAATTTATTTAACTTCAAGTTAAATAAAATTTAAAATTATAAAAAAATTCTAAAATAAATCTAAAAATCACTAAACTAATGAAAAAAAAAGCTAAATAATAATATTTACATATAGGCACTTGCAACGGTGATGCTAATATACTATTTTAATTGGATTTTGTGCATAATGACTACTGAATTAATTTCCTCACACTCAAGCAATGTGTAAAAAAAGTAATGTATAAAAGTAAAGAAACAACATTTGATCCAATACATGCAAGCAAATAAAGAAAAAAGCATATAATTATAGTAGCATATCTGTAGGAAAATGACGACAAGAGCAGTTTAAGGTTTACGTCTTGTATTTTGAGCAACTCGCAATAGTATGTACAAAAAATGTATTGCGAGCGCGTCATAAAAATCGGTTTTCCTACAGTTGACCAATGAGAATTCTTAAAATCGTATCAAATGATCTTTGTCTGAAAAACTAGTCTCAATTCATAAACTCGGATGCTTACGGCAAGAGTCGGTCTTAGCGATGGTGTTACAAGTTAATTTCGTTAATCGCTTGTATAAACAAAATATCGAGTAAATCTTTGCAAAAAGCGTAAGCAATTGTTCTGAAGTAAAATGTATCATGAAATCTTTTGTTACATCTACCTTGACATGAAATTATACATGACTTATATTTCCTTATTTACCGAGCAAATTATAGATTGGAATGTGAGGTGAAATAACAAAATAGATTTTATATGACATTTTCTAAAAAGAGATTTGTTTACTACGGAAGCCGGTAGGTGCCAGGTAAAAAAAAATATTTTATCTGACGGCCGCCAGATCTTTTCAAATAATTATCTGGCGGCCGCCACATAAATAATTGCCGGCAGCCAAATAAAAAGAACATGCAAGCTTTCATTCAATTTTGTGTACAGAAAAAAGACGGGGGGTTCTCCTCCATGTTGCCATCATTACACCTAGTGCTCGATACCTTTGCTTAGTGCAGCATAATTTGTTCTTAAAGTGTATCCCTTTAAAAAAAAAAATAAGCCCCTAGCTCTTAAGAATTTTTTTTTAAATTACAAATCTGAAATTAATGTAAATTAAACATACATGTAAAAATTGCACAGTTTGTAAAAATTAAATAACATGAAGATAATAACAGCAGCAAATTCATACCCGAAGCTTGTCTTTTAAACAAATGCATCTCTCAGGGAATACAGCAAGGAAGACTTGATATCTGTATTCCTGGACACAGTTATTCTTCGATCTGCGCCACTCACCTTACCATCTGCCCAAGCACCACTTCCTCAGGAGATCTGCCATCACCTCTACGGAAGCAAATTAATCTTTCATCACAGTTGGGAAATATAATTTGATTAGTAGGAATGCTTGATTTTTTTTCTTTAAAAAATTACTTAAAACTGTTAAAATCTCTCTCCTCCATTTTATACGCAGAAACGCTCTCTTTTATTGCTAATCCAAGAGCTTCATCTTCACCCATCGCACCTCTAAATATGATTAACCCATAGTACTAATTAAAACTGAGCTGCAGTTGAGTTTGAAGGGGGTCAAGCTTTTAAAATACAGTTTGTTCTTTGTTTTTTTTTAATATATATATATATATAAAAAACTAATCTTTCATCACAGTTGAGAAGTATAATCTGACTAGCAGGGATGCTTGATTATTTTCTTTATAAAGTTTACTAATTACTGTAAGAATCTTTTCCCTCAATTTTATATGCAGAAACACTCTCTTGAATCGCTAATTTCATCTTCATCCATTGCCCCTCTAAAATGATGTACATATATGGTACTAATTAAAATTTATCTGCAGCTGAGTTTAAAGGGTAAAAAACCTTTTAAAAAGTTTCTTTTTTTTCATAAAAAAGGTTCCATACAAACAATGCTTGATTTCATTTATTTTATATAAATATTTTAGGTACTATGCATTGTGGGTCCTCAGAGAATGACAACTGATAAGTAGGTCACCATGACCTACTCTCAGGTATAAATTGGCTTAGAAGCATCTTGGGTTCTCAGAGTGTTTTATCTAAAATGTAGATCATGATGACCTACCTTTGGAATTTCAAAGCCTTTTCTAAATAGAGGCTTCAGATAGAAGTGGAAAAAAATTGCATAGATTTTCCTAATTTTTACTTTCGTTTACTTTGAACAAATATGGTTAAAATTTGGTTAAGGTACAATGTGAACAAATCTGTATAATATAGTAGACCTTTTGCATTAGTATTTTTTACACCCGTAATCAAAGATTCAGGGGCATATGGTTTATGCCTTGTTTGTCTGTCTGTTTGTTCTCAAAAAACTTAAACCTTGTTGATAATGTGCGATTGGTTGGAGCTATGGGTTTCATATTTCACGTGTATTCCTTGTGACAAGACCTTTCTTTGGGTAAACATTATACAAGTATATAATAGTATGTCTTAAAGGTGACACATAGGTCCATCGTGCCAGGTGTTTGTAAAAAGTGATATAATTGTAAGTGATTATCTATTTTTTTAAACACATGTCACTATAATAAATAAACACTACTACTTTTATTTGATCTCTTTGAGTTTGACCCACCTTTGCAAAATTTTACCAAATTTTTACCTTAGCTTAGCCATTACTTCTGAACAGTCGCTGTTGGTGTTAGTGCTTTCATATTTCACATGTATTTCTTGTGACAAGACCTTCCCTTAGACGCCATTATTTTGACCTTGATAATTGACTTACTTTAAAAAAAAAACTTTAACCTTCACCGTAACTTTTCAACAATTAGTGCTAGGACTCTCATATTTTACAGGCATATTCCTTGAGACAAGACCTGCTTTTAGGTAACAACATTTTTGATACCTTGACCTTGGACTTTACATTGTAACTTGCATTTGAGAAACTTTGTCCTTCACCATAAGCTTCTATTAGGGGACATCATTGTTTCACAAACAAATCTTGTTTTTTTTTATTCATTTATGGCTAAGTGGAAATTTTGATTTTCTAAGATCTCTCCTCTATTTTCATTAATGTAGACCTGAATCATGTTCAAAATATAGGAGCTCCTCTATTGGTCATATAGTAGCTCCCATATTTTGAACATGTATTTTCAATGTTGGTGAACAGTATTTAGGTCAATGATTATAACATGTATATGACAGAACTCCAATAAGTCAATCCGGCTTTTCCAACATGCCTTCCTGTGCATGTTTGTCATTCAAATCCAAGACAACACCATAAAAAAAAATCATCACAATTTATTATCCCTTTTCATATAATTTTAGTACATTCCATCTCCCACCCCGCCCTGAGTGGCAATTTTTGGTCTTGATTTTTCGACAATGAGTAAATATTACAATATAATCATGTACCTCTTGTCACCAAATGGGTAGGTTAATAACACATCATTACCAGATAACTTTAAATAAAATAAATGTGCAAATTACTTTCAGGAAAATGGCAAAGAAACTATTTGCAAAATATTCAAATAGCAAATGCCTCGATTACTTTGGTATGCATATATAAAAACTTAACAAGAAGCCCAGGGGCCACCTCGCTCACCTGAGTACTGTGGCTAGGAAAAAAGCAAAAATCAGTTTAGTATTGAAAAGCTCAAATGCACAAGTGGTTCCGACCTACCCCGAAAAAGGGGGAGTATGATTTGAACAAAATTGAATCTACACTAACTAAGGATGCTTACATATTTTTTTACTGTGACCTTTTTTTCCTAAAAGTTTGAACTTTCATTGTGGCCCCACCCTACACCCAGGGGGTCATGATTTGAACAAACTTGAATCTACACTACCTGACAATGATTCCATGTGAGTTTCATCTTTCCTGGCTCATTGGTTCTAGAGAAGAAGATTTTTTAATGGTGCCATTAAATTTTCGCTATTTTGTAATTATTAAAGTTTACAATGACAACCAGAGACAATGGACAGATTTTGATCAGAAAAGTTCACTTGAGCCTTCGGCTCAGGTGCGCTAATAAATTCAATCAAGATAAATGCAGAAATTCAAGTTTTTTTTTAAGCATGCAGATCCTAGTTCATCAGCGGTAAACTGAGACATGGATGTGACATTTTAAATGGAGTATCAAATGGACATATTTCAAATAGAAATTTATCAAAAATGCATCACTTCAAATGGAGTGTCAAATGATGTCAAAAGGACAAATTTCATGTACAAATTAATCAGGAACAACACATGCATTCTTTCATCAAGAATTCTCTGAAATTCGCCAAGACTCTTCTTTCTTCAAAGTTATTCACATTGCAATTTTTTTGTCCAGACCAGTACACTCTTCTATCGAGATTTCTCTTGATTTTTAACAAGGCTGTGTTATCTTCCCATTGCAAGATTTTTGTCCATAGGTCTTAAACTTATGACGTGCTCAAAGTCTATCAGGGTGAAGTTAAGACTCCAACATCAAATTTATGGTTCCTGAACCCTGAAAAATAACATTCAAAACACAATTAGAGTTTTTATAATTATCGTGCATAATCAAGGGGACTGGGTAGGATGGAGAACTTTTTTCATGATAAGTATGACAAGTGGAAGGCTTTCAATGTGACAGCAAATTGGGTATTCCTTGTGTGAACAGAACTGGCATTTCTTACATGAATTAAAAAAATTGTCCATTTGCAAGAGTTATTTCCCTTTATGGAAAAAAAACCCTCCCCATTGTTCTCACTATATCCTTTGTAACTTGCCTGTAAATTTTTAAAAAATCTTTAAATTCCTTTTGACAATTTTATACCGTATCTTTATTGGCAAAGTATGGCCCTAAAAAAAACAAAAACCAAAAAAAGAAAAAAAAAACAAATCGTAATGAACATACACTACGCTATTTTGCATAGAAATGACTATGGTCAAATAAAAATCCCATGGGCCACATTGCTCACTTGAGCTCTTTGGCGTTCAGTATTGAAAAGTTAAAATTCATACTGGGTCCGAACTAATCCTAAGGGGAGGGGAAGCAGGCATGATTTGAATTCACTTAAATCTACACTAATTGATGATGTTTTCTATTTCTTTGATTAAGGCCTAGATAAAAAAAATTGTGTGTTTCCGGTTCCCCGACCAACCCTAAAATATATGAGCCGACCCTGAAAAATTAATCCGCTGATATCTTTCCGAAAGTAAACAATTCCATTTTCACTATTAGAGATCCAAATCTCGATCACTTCGGTGTTTGGGAAAATGCATATCCTATACACATTAAACAGAAATGCCATTAGTAAGCCAACTTTTGGGAAAAAGAAATGAACTCTTTGTTTTTCTCATTTTGTTTATTGTGAGAGTTGAATTTTAACTAATAAAATGTTAAAATAAAAATTGCCTACCTACCTTTTTTTTCTCGGGTTGGAATATGAAACATACTATTTATTTATCTTGGCCTAATCATGGACTTAGAAGATTTTTAATTATCTTTCCTTTGTATTCTTGTGTAAAATTTTGATTGTCCATTGTGGCCCCATCCGAAACGTTGGGGTCATGATTTAAACAAATATGAACCTACACTACCTGAGGATTGTTCCACATGTTTTTCTTTCCTGGCCCAGTGGTTCTTGAGAAGAAGATTTTCAAATGACACTCACCAAACTTGTTCTTAATTATCTCCCCTTGGCCCTTCATTTGAATAAAATTAAATCCTCTCCACCCAATATTACCTTGTGATAAATTGGGTTGATTTCTGGACAAAAGCTTTGAAAAGTTGAAAATTTAGAGATGACACACAACATTTATGTATGATAGACAGATGCAAGACACGCTTTGATTAGAAAAATTCACTTGAGCCTTAGACTCAGGTGAGCTATATTGTAAATAATTAATTATTAAGTAGATGTCTGTTTTAAACATATCAAAAGAGTGTTAATCTAAATATAGCACCTACTATATTATGTACATCCTAAAATTTATATTTACTGCAGAATAAATTTTAAAAAATCTCAATGTAAAAATTGGCAAGTACCTATTACATTTTCTTACCCCCCCCCCCTCCCCTGGGTAAATCTGCCAATGTAATAAATGAATAATTTCTTAATTCTTTTTAACCATAATTGTCCTTTTTACCTCTGTGTCATCCATAATTCTTTGAGTGGAAAATCTTTTTCTTTCTTTACAACACTGATTTCTTACTTTAAAACCTGCCTCTAAAAATCAAGACTCTTTGTTGCTCCTAAAATTAAATGTGCAAATAATTCAAAAACTATAGCATCATTTCTTTTTCTCATGGTGACTGATGATTGAACAAAAAATGTAGAATTTCTCATATTTAGAATTTGTCAATTGACTCTTTTAATGGCAGTGGCTAGAAAAACAAGTGAAATTTTTTTTTGTTCGAAATGTCATTGAGCAATGTCTTTGGCATGATTGGAACAAATTTGAAACTACACTACCTGAGGATGCTTCCATATTTCTTTCACTAATCATGGCTTTAGAAGATTTTTATAGATTTTTTCCCCCTACAAGTGGGTACTTTTCTTGAGGCCCCACTCTACCCCCAGGAGTCATGATTTGAACAAATCTGAATCTATACTACCTAAGGATGCTTCCATATAAATATCACCAATCATTGCTTTGCTGATCTTGAGAAGAAATTTTTTTAAAGATGTTTCCTATGTATTCTTTTGTAAAAGTTTGATCATCCATTGTTGCCCCACCCTAACCCCTGGGGTCATAATTTAAACAAATTTGAATCTACACTACCTGAAGGTCTTTCCACACAGGTTTCATCTTTCCTGGCCCAGTGGTTCTTGAGAAGATTTTAAAAGATGCCATTAATTTTTCACTAATTTGTAATTACATCCCTTTAGAAAAAGGCATGGCCCTTCATTTGAACGAACTTGATTCCCCTTTACCCGGGGATACTTTATGGCAAGTTTGGTTGAAATTGGCCCAGTAGCTCTTGATAAGAAGTCGAAAATGAGAAAAGTTTACAGACGGACAAAATGTGATCAGAAAAGCTCACTTGAGACTTTGGCTCAGGTGAGCTAAAACCAAATCCAACACACGAGTGTTGCCTGATTGTGTTTAGTGATTTGTGGCAGTTAACTGCATAGGCGTCGGAACCGGGGGGAGGGGTGGGGGGCTAGGGGGGCTTAGCCCCCCCTTTTTTTGCAAAGATAGACATAATATAGAAATTGAAAATTGGGGTTTACCTTTTTTCGCTGGTTTAGCCCCCCCCCCTTTTCAATTTGCTTCCGACGCCTATGAACTGGTAGTTAATTAAACACACCGGATAAAATATAAAAATTAACAATAACATAGCTCTTGCTCATGTTAACAAACATAGGGTCGCCTGCGTGGCACAGTGGTTAAAGCATTTGCTTTAGAGTCGTGGAGTAAGGAGTTGATCCATACGTCCATAGGTACACAGATACTTCGAACTGGTTTCTTCGGAAGCCGTAGTTCAATTACAATATGCTGACAGCTGATTTCTGAGACATTTCCTTTATCGAATGAATGTAAATCACTTACTTGTACATTAATATCACAAAATCATCTTTATTTACCGGCATACCGCCTGACTTTCACTGGCACTGCCGCACTGTTGATACTAGCACATGGCCTTGAGTCACGTGATTATCTTCGGCAGACAAACGTTACCTTTGTCAAGCGTCCAAATAATAATCTTTCTCGAAATTGGTGAACGATAATAATTGTGCTGTGCATCAGAATCATACAAACGTTTGATTTTGTCAAGCGTCTAAATAATAATGTTGCATCTTTTCTGGTCGAGATTATTATTGTTGAATATTATAATTATTGTATGATCGATGTGGAATATAATTGTTATAATTTTGAGGCGAAATAAAAATAATGTGTACACATGGACAGACAAGATTATAATTATTAAGTAAGAATAATTATTATAATTTTGAGGCGAAATAAAAATAATGTGTGTAGACATCGACTGACAAGATTATAATTTTGAAGCGAAACATAATAATGTGTCCACTTTGACTGGCAAGATTATAATTGTGAAGTGTGAATAATTATAATTTTAGGACAAAATAAAAATAATGTGTACACGTTTGACAGACAAGATTATAATTGTTGCTGGAAAAATAATAATGTTGTCAAAAAGCAAGTTTTTTTATTTTTGGAAAAGGTAATTATTTTTGGGTATAATTATATAGGAAAAAATAATAATAATATGGGGGTACCCTACGTCTTTCCATAATTTACAACTGTCTATTAAGAAACCATTTAAACCTTAGATGTAGAACTATTATTTTTTTGTATGTCATGTAAATGTTGATGTTGGATTTTCATCATTTTCTGAGACTTTTTCTCATTATCGATGTGTGTGTGAAAAAAAATCTACAGAGATTATAACGTTCAATGTTAGCGCAATTGCTATCATCTTTTGTTATAAAAGGCAATATAAAGACTATCTTTGGGGAGGACCAATCTGGAAAAATAATAATGTGAACGTAAGAGAGTAAATAATTTTTAAATGATATGTACGTTTTTCTGTATAAGTACATGTAATTATTATATGAAAAGTGACCTCTCTCAGGAACACCACCTACACCAGAATGAAGTAGGGCACATCCTTCACAAGTACACGGTAACACCCACAACCACTTTCAGGCACCCGTCTTATCCAATCTCTAACAGAACCCTGAATAAAATGAAAAATCTTATGTAATGTTATTAGAATTCTAAAAAAAAAAATTTTAAAAATATGTAAACACAGAAAATTAATGTTAGATTTTTTTCCTTATAAGGAGAAACAATATTTATATTTTTCAGACCACTTTCTATCATGGGGTAAATTTTAAAAAGAGTAAATAATTTTTCAGAGGTATCCACATTTGTTTTTGTTTAATTCACTTTTTTCACATGGATATTCATATTCAGGTAAACACCCCTGTCTCTTTTTTGTATGTCAGATAATTCTTGATGTAGAATGAACACCACTATGTAGCTGTTATAGCTTTTAAAAAAATGTACCTTTTAAACGAGATTTTTTTAAGTAGGTAGTTAAATCTTTTTTGACATGTACATTTTTTTTTCTGTATCATTCGCATTCCATAATTTCATGAAGTGCTATATTCATGTTCAGTTAAACACCCCTTTCTTTTTTGCATGTTTATGTCAAGTAGACTTAAAAAAAAGGTTATATCGTTTTGACATGTTCATTTTCTGTATCATTCACTTTCCATAATTTCATGGTTGTATGCATTTAGACATGTTCATATAGAGCATATTTAAAGAAGGATTTATACAATGTTCAGGTAAACACCTTTTTTGTATGTCATGTAAATGTTGATGTAGGGTTTTCATTATTTTCTCATTATGGCTCAGGTATATCCAATGCAAATTATTTTTGTTTTAGTCTTTTTTAAATAAATTATGTAACCCCGAACTAAACCATAAACTTCAAGATTGTTCAATGCTTAAAGAAGTAGATATTCGTAGAAATAGTCCCCCCCCCCTCACACAACTTCACACACAAACGAAACAAGTTACGCTTGCTAAATTTTGAAATTTTTGAAAACTTTATGAGGAAGGGTTGTTTGTAATATGAAGGTCAAGGTCATTTTATTTAGAATCCAAGACATTAAACAAAACTTCCTTTGTTAACAATTAGATAAAAATGATAGAGAGGAAAAGGGGGGGGGGGGTAATACATGTCATTGTCTTCTTTATTTGAAACAAGAGGCCCAAGGGCCTTAACGGTCACCTGAGTATAATACAACAATTTAGAGGATCCATAGAGTATAAAATTAACTAAGAGGTGAAGCTTTGTTGCCCAAAAGCAAGAAAAATAGGGTGATCAGGATCAACAAAATAATTAGTCTACTGTTCATTAACAGTTCATAAATTAGGTTCTAATCTGTTCCCCATTCATCACTATCACCATACAGTATATTGACAAATTATCAGTGATTCTGTACTATTTTAATTCCTTGATGAAATCTCTTACATTGGACTCTCATGGTCTTTGATGAACATTGAATAAGATAAGTTATTTTTGTCTCATTTTTAGCTCTACTGGTCAGAAACCAGAAGAGCTTATGCGATGGTAAGGTGTCCGTCGTCCGTCCGTCTGTCTGTCTGTCCGTCTGTCTGTAAACAATTTTTCAAAACGCTACTCCTCCTACAGTTTTGGTCTGATTTCAATATAACTTGGCACACAAGTAGATTACACCAAGATAAATAATTTAGTGCATCAGTTTTTGATTTCGATGAACGGTGTTGCCGTGGATACTAAAAATAGAAATTTCTGTGAATTTCCTTTAAAACTCTACTCCTCCTACAGTTTTGGTCTGATTTCAATATAACTTGGCACACAAGTTGACTACACTAAGATACATAATTAAGTGCATCGATTTTTGTTTTCGATTAACAGTGTTGCCATGGTTACTAAAAATAGAAATTTCTGTCATATTCCTTTAAAACGCTACTCCTCCTACAGTTTTGGTCTGATTTCAATATAACTTGGCACACAAGTACACTACACTAAGATACATAATTTAGTGCATCAGGTTTTGATTTCGATGATCGATGTTGCCATGGTTACTTAAAATAGAAATTTCTGTGAAATGTCTTAACAATACTTTTCCTCCTACAGTTTTGGTCTGATTTTAATACCACTTGGCATACAAAAAGACTATACTAAGATACATTATTTGTTGCAACCTTTTTTTGATTTCGATGAACAATGTTGCCATGGTTACTAAAAAAAATAGAAATTTCTGAGAAATTCCTTTAAAACGTTACTCCTCCTACAGATTTGGTCCGAGTTCAATCTAATTTGGCACACAATAAGAATACACTAAGTTACATACTATTTATTTCGGTTTTGATTTCAGTGAATGGTGTTGTCATGGTTACTAAAAATAGAAATTTTCAAAACGCTACTCCTACAGTTTTGGTCCCATTTCAATATAACTTGGCACAGAAGAAGACTACATTAAGATACACAATTCTATTTATTGTTGCAAAGTTTCAAATTCAAGTGCTACTTTGTTATACATACAGACCAGTAGAGCTACAGTCTCATCAGAGACTTCTGGTTATTTATCTATTACTTACAAGTCTACCTGATCATTTAAACTATAAAAGTACTTTCTGTATTATACAATAAAAAATCTTGCATTCTCCTATTCTATTAACCT